ATTGATTAAAAAGCCTTCTCCTCTCCTCCATTTCATTTAAATCAAACATACAATAACAAAAAAAGAATAAAATTATTAGACTATAAAAAGTGATTGAAAAGGTGCCAGAAGTTTGCCGATAAGAGCAGTGCTACGGGCACTCGCTTTTTGCACTCTCCGGTGAACACTTCCCCTTTCATTGGGCCACGTAAGCTTCTTTAAAGCTTTCCGGCGCAACATCTCGGGAACCAAAATAACGTGGCCCAATAAAAGGGAAAGTGTTTGGCCGGAGAGTGCAGGAGGCGAGTGCCCCTAGCATTGCTCTTGCCGATAATTAACTTTTATTATTAGAAGATATTTAGTATAGTTATTTGAAACTAATTAACTATTAGTGATTTCATTTAATTTAATGAATAAAAGTATTTAAATTAATAATAATAATAATTAATAATCATATTAGACAAAAATGCTAACTACTACTTTTAAACCGTTATACTAAATAATTCTTTAATAAGGCATGTGATTTATGAGTAACACATGTATTTACTTGTTTAGTGTCATATAACACGTGTCAACTTATTTGAATTTTTTGGTACATCACTTATTGTCTAAGTGGTGTTTGGATTAGTGTTTTACATATAGTGGATGGTTAATATTTAAATATTATTAAATTATTATTATTTATAATCTAAATATTTTTAGTTAGTTCATTAATTGAAATTGTAGCTCAAACCAATGTACAAAACACTTGATAAATATGAAAATATAAGGAAATTTAAGATGGTATTTGGTAAAATTTTAAAAAGTACTTCTTTAAAAGCACCCTCTAACAAATTAAAAATTTTATTAGAGAAAAAAGATAAAATTAACTTTTGAAATGTGTTTGAAGTAAGTTTTGAAAAAAGTATATAACCAAATTTTTTTAAAACTTAAAATTCATTTTAAAAAGACAATTTTTATATTTTCCTCTAATAAGATTTCATATTTATAAAAAAAGAATAGTACTATTTAAAAAATGTGCTTTTTAAACTTTATTAAATAGACCTTCTTGAATGGAAAAAAGAAAAAAAAAAAAAAAGAAAACCTCTTAAATGAACCTAACAATTTTAGAGATATTTTACTCAA